AAGGCATGGGAATGAGAACAGGAATTCACAGGAATTCAGAGTGGTCCCTGCACTTCAGGGGAGCGAGCAGAATCACTCAGGGCCGGCCCCAGGCCGGCCTCACCTCTGGAGGTGATGGCTCATTCTGGCTGCTGATACGGCAGGAGTGTTCGCATGGGATGGTTGCATACTGTGTATTGTGAAAGTTCTCCATTGGAAGATAGCTCTGGGAAATGCTAAATGACTGGCAGCCAGAATATTTCAAATAAGCAGTAGCCACTTGAGGTTAATCTGGGAAGCTTGGTGCTGTGAACAATGCTTTTGTCTGGGAGGGCGACATTTCACGGCCATGCAGTCCAGCCGTGCAGCCGGAGGTGCCTTGCTGGAACTGGACAGGGACTGAAGGGCCATGTCAGCGAGCTGTGCGCTCCAGGTCGGAGTTAGAACTGTGGCTCATGCCGTCTGTGGAGACCGCGCTGGGCCAGGAGCACGCCCGGCTGTGGCGGCGCCTGGCGCCATTCCTCTGGCCACTACCAACTCCGGTTAACGTCTGTGTAACGCCTGTGGCAGCAGTCAGGGCTCCTGGGTTCCGGTGAACACGCAAACCGTTTTTTCTCTCTAGTCTCTCACCTGGCGACACCAGCCGCCTGAGGTCCATCCCAGCATGCCGGGCAGTCCTCAGCACCAGCTGGTGTCCTGAATCCGACAGGCCAGAGCTCAGAGAGCGCCAGGCCTGCGGGCCAAGGTCAGCCCCTGCAGAGCAGGAGGAGCAGTGGTCCACCAGGCCGCTGCCCCGCTGGCGGGGTTCCCCGCCCCCCTGGGGTTCCACTGATTTGACAGAGCTGCAGAGCCCAGGAGGAGGGTCTACTGCAGCCTCGCACTTACTACAGAGGCCCCCGCATCGTCCTTATGGTCCATTCAGAACCGCAGACAACACGGCCTTCCAGGAGCTGGAGGCGCCTCGCAGCCCCGGCTCTAGACAGACGGCTGGGGGTAAGAGGGGGGCGTGTGTGTGCAATGACGGCTTCGGGGGGCTCTTGCCGCTCGAGTCCATGTGTGCCACAACCAGGGCGGTCACACCGAGTCGTGGGTGAGACCACTTTCATCCCGACATCGGCCTCTTCTCGAGAACACGTCAGGCACCTGGAGCTCACCTCTGCCTGCCCCGGTCTTCTGGAAAAGTCCGGGAAGGAGCCAGGCGAGTCTGCACTTCGTGGCGACGAACGCCGTGCTCTTTGGGCCTTCGCAGGGGTCGCTGGCCCTCTGTATCCCACCCTTCCTAAGGGGGTGGTGGCACCAGGCCAGCTCACAGCTCTGCTATCTGTAACTTACAGGTGGGCTTAGCAAACGGCCTGCGGCCACGTGGTAACACCAGAATTGACCGGGTCTCCCCCAAGACTCGTGCTGCCCCACGTGTGCACGCTCTCGGGGCGCTGTCTGCTGCCCCACGTGTGCACGCTCTCGGGGCGCTGTCTGCTGCCCCACGGGGGCACGGTCGGGGGGCGCTGTCTGGTG